TGGGGTCTCTACCCACCGTACTGGAAGCAGCTCCACATGGTGCCCGACCTCCAGCTCGCTTTTCACCGCATCGTGTGGGCCTGCGCCATCCTCGGCACGCATGTCCTTCTCAAGGGCGAGGCACGCGCGTTTCTCTCTGGCATCACGAGCTGGCGACTTCTGCTCACGTTTGTCTTCTCGAGCGCTCTCATCTTTGCCAACTGGTACCTCCTCGTGTGGGCCGTCAACGCGGGTTTCATCGTCGAGGCCGCGCTCGGTCTCTTCATCAACCCGATGTTCAGCGTCGTCTTTGGCGTGCTCGTGTTTCACGAGCGTCTGCGCCTCTGGCAGTGGGTTGCCGTTGGCTTGGCGCTCGCTGGCGTCCTTGTCTGCGCGATCGGCTACGGCAAGGTCCCGTACATTGCGCTGAGCATGGCCATCACGTTTGCGATCTATGGCGTCATCAAGAAGCAGACGACGATGCTGGCGCGCCACGGCATGCTGCTCGAGACGCTGCTCGTGTGTCCGCTTGCGATCGCGTACTTGGTGTACGTCGAGTGCACGGGCACCGGCGCCTTCTTGCACGGAGCGACAACCACTAGTGTGCTTTTGGTGGGCGGTGGCGTCGTGACGATCGTACCGCTGCTCTTGTTTTCGATGGCGGCGCAACTGATTCCGTTGAGTCTCCTTGGCATTCTGCAGTACATTGCGCCGACGATGCAGTTTCTCTTTGGGGTGTTAATGTACGACGAGCCGCTCACGACACTCAAGCTGATGGGTTTTGTGCTTGTCTGGGCGGCGCTCGCCGTGTACTCGGGCGAAGGTCTCTGGCAGCGCGCGTCCAAAGTGCCAGTCGAGGTCGACACGACGCTGGACGACGCGTGTGACGACGACGGTATCGCCGAGTACAAGGACGCGGCGCTAGTCTGATTGACCCGAGCGACGATGGCAGCAGCGGCCACCACGTTTTGCCGTGATGTGCGCTACTCTAGCTATTTGATCCTAAGCTATCTGAACACAAGCAACATGCCACGGTGGAACGAGCTTTGAAGCATGCACCTAACTGGGTAGACTCCAGGGAACCATTTGGGTGACTAGCATTTGCCTACAAGAAGTCAACGAGACTTGGCATGAAGCACTCTTTCACTTCATATGCCCAACCATCCACGATCAATCAATCGTCATTTCACACGATGGTATACATGACAATTAGTGTTCATTTCCAATTCGCGCAAGTTAGACGCGCTCGTACGCGGCCTCGTCACCCCGCGGCGACTCGACAGCCGCTGGCTTGGCCACTTGTTGTTGTTGCTGCTTTTGATATACAAAACCCTCGACCGAGTAGACGGCGAGCGCCACCCAGACAAAGATAAACCCAATGAGCTTCACGAGCGAGAACGCCTCGCTGTACACGGCAACGCCCATGATGAACATGAGGCTCGGCGCAATGTACTGCAGCATGCCGAGGAGGCTGAACGGGATCTTCTGCGCTGCCGACGCGTACATCAAGAGTGGAATCACGGTCACGACACCCGCACCAACGGTCAAAACGTTGGCGGTCGTGCTGACGTGCAAGAAGGC